ATCAGGTCCCCCTCCCCCATCACCTTTTCCAACATCAGACGCCTCCTCACACGCCTACTGTGGAAAGGCAACTCAGAAGCAGAATCTGCCCTCAGCAAAGTTAGTTGGAGCAAAATCATAGAAAAAAGAGCAGCAGGCGGTCTAGGCATTCTGGACCCAGAAATTCAGAACCGAGCTCTCTTGGCCAAGTGGCCTGTCCGTGCCATGACTTCTACAGAAGACCAGCCTTGGATCATACTTGCTCAACACTCCCTAGCTAAGGGATGGAAGCTCTYAGACCCCRAAGCGGTCTGGAGCGCCCTGCTGATGYGCCCTTTCACCACCAGACCCTCTACTTCCACCTGGAATAACATTCTCAAAGCCTGGTCTAAGATGATCCCCCAATTGCTTACTGACCCCTCCACTCTGAACACCTGTCTCTTCGAGAATCCCTCAATCCGTAACAGGGCCGGGCTCCCCTTCTCGGTCGCCAAAGCAACAGGAAATTTCGGGCTCAAATGGATGCAGAGAGGTATATGGTTGATTCGCCACATCTGGGACGAAGATTCTAAGAACTGGAAGTCTACAAGGGACCTTCACCTCCAACTCAACGGATTACAGCATCAAACTGACCACTTGAGAGAAATAACGGAAGCCATCCCTCATGCATGGACAGACACCCTTCGTCAGACAGGCAAGGTATTCAAGGAAGACCACTCCCCAGCCTAGAGGACTGGCTACATCTGTGGTGGGAATGTGTTATTGCTAGAGGCTTCTGGGACAATCTGAACAGAGGCATACGGAGCTGAAGGCTTTTGGAACCAGGACTTTGTGATCACAGGAAGATTGAACTCTCACATCAGCAAACATCAGATTGGTACTGTTGCCCAGTCATTCAGATTAAGGGCTTTTTGGTGTATCTGGCTCGCCAGAAGAGATAGGCGCTTCTTCAAGTCCAATTCCTCAGTTACCTCCCTACTTTCACAGTTTAAGCATTCAATCAGATTAGACATTATGTCAGAATGGATTAAATTTAAAAGGCAAGCTTCTTCTATTGAGTTAGCCAGAGAGCAGTTTCGTCGGAAATGGTCCACCCCCTATCGGTGGGCCGGCTTCACAGACTCTGAGAAGAATAGCCTCTTCTATTCAGAACTTCTGTGGGACTACCCTTCCAGGCCTAGCTTACTAGCTTCCCATCAGGCAGTACTTCACTGAGAGGGCCAGGTATCCCCTCCACTTCGGTAGATGCGACCTTAACTATCGCTTTCCTCTCAAGAGCAAAGAGAACTGCTGGTCTGTGTTTTCTTTCCATTTACACCGGGTAGACTGTGGGGACCCCGGCCCCAGGTTTCTGCTGAGTAACTTTTATAAGGGACGCTGGGCCCGGTTCCCAGCAGGTGCTGCTCCCCACGAATAGATCGGAGCCAATTGAAAAAAAAAATAAAAAAAATGGCGGTTTTACGGTGTATCCTCCCTGTTCTAGGCGAAGATTCATTCTCGATTTGCACATTTGGTGAGTAGTGGAGCGAGGCGCTAAGTGGAGCGGTGGTGCCAATGGACCTCGCTCTGCTACTCTCGAGATGTGCAAAACGAGAGTGAATTATCCGCTAGAACATGGAAAGATACACCGCGGCCATGATGTTTGGTCTTTTGTGCATGTGGAGAGTAGTGCCAGTGGAGCGAGGCGCTAAGTGGAGCGGTGGTGCCAGTGGACCTCGCTCCGCTACTCTTGAGATGTGCGAAACGAGAGTGAATTTTCTGCTAGAACATGGCAAGATACACCCCCATGATTTTTTGTCTTTTGTGCATGTCAAGAGTCTTGGAGCCAGGCCCGATATCAAAACGAGAGTCAATCTTCTGCTAGAACATGGCAAGATACACCACCATGATTTTTGTCTTTTGTGCATGTCAAGAGTCGTGGAGCGAGGCCCAATGATAGAGCTTTGAGAACCCGACGTCAACTACTCGTCTCGTTGATAGTTGTGCTGGTCATCAAGGCCCTCTCTCTCTACTCCTCTCCACATCATGATGGACAAAAGACAAAAGATATGGTGGTGTATCTAGCCATGTTCTAGTACAAGAGTCATTCTCATTTTGCACATCTGGTGAGTAGTGGAGTGGGGCCCCAAGTCTGGAAGAAGAACAAAATCATCCACAACGTTTTCTCTTGCGTGCAGATTGTGATGGCCATCAATTCCGGGTTTTTTTTTTTTTTTTTTTTTTTTTT